AGAGGTGGAGAATGTGATGATCCAAAAGGTGATCACTTGTTTAAAAATGAAATTTCCACGTTCCGAGGCCTTGGAAACCTCTATTAGCATCACTTTGATTTGCGTGTGTAGTCCAGGCACATAGCCGAAAAGCCTAAATGTGAAAATATGTGAAAAATGATAAATTTTGACTATAAAATGAATTAATTTGACTTCGGTCAATGTTTTGGGTAAACGAACCCGGACCTGTGAATTGACAATCCCGGAGGATCCGTAGGAAAATATGGGACTTAGGAGTATGCCCGGAATCGAATTCCGAGATCCCAAGCCCGAGAAATAAATTTTTTAAAGAAAATTATTTTCTGAAATGGTTTAAAAGTTTTGGAAATGAATTTTGATTAGAATGTGTTGGTATCGGACCCGTATCTTGATTTCGGTGCCCTGTACAAGTCTTATATATGATTTAAGATAACTCTGTGAAGTTTGGTAAGAAACAAAATCCATTTGACGTGATTCGGACCTTAAATGCAAATTTGATGTTTAAAGGAATTTTGAGAAATTTCATTGATCTTGAGGTCTAATTCGATGTTCATGATGTTAGTTTGGTGATTTGATTATACGAATAAGTCTGTAGGATATTTTTGAGGTTGTGTGTATATTTGGTTTTGAGCCCCAATGGCTCGAGTGAGTTTTGGATAGGCCACGGGGTGGATTTTTAGACTCAGAAAGTTGCAAAAACTTTGTTGGTATGATCAGGCCTGCAGGCTTCGCACTCGCAAATGCGAAGACTGGATCGCAAATGGGAAACCAGCCCAGGCCTGTCTTGCTCGCAAATACGAGGCTTTGATTGCAAATGCGTCCTGTTTCAGCCTTGAGTCGCAATGTGACTCCCATCTCGCAAATTCCAACTCGCAAATACGAGGGTCCCTTTCGCAAATGCGAAAGTCCAGCTTTCCTGAAGGGTTCGCAAATGCGAACCCTGTTTTGCATTTCCCAACTTAGCAGAGATCTGCGAACCCCTGTTCGCATTTCCCATACCTGCGACCTACAACTTTATACTTAGACGATTTTAAACCCATTTTTCACATCTTTTCAAAACACAAACTCCTTTGGGCGATTTTTCAAGAACAAATCTTCTTCCATATCGATTGTAAGTTAATTTTAACTCATTTCCTTCAATCATTAACATCTTTTAACATGATTTCAACTTAAAATCAATGGTTTTCATGGGGGAAATTGGATGTTTTGGATAGAACGTAGGTTTTTCAAAAATTGGGGATTTGGACCTCGATTTGAGGTCTGATTTCAAAACAAATTATATATTTGGATTCGTAGGGGAATAGGTAATCGGATTTTGGTTCGAACCTCGGGTTTTGACCATGTGGGTCTGGGGGCCATTTTTGACCTTTTGGGCAAAACTTTGGAAAACTCATTTTATGCATTCAAATTGATTCATTTGGAGTTTATTGATGTAATTAAGTAACTTGTGACTAGATACGAGCAAATTTGTGGTGGAATCAAGGGGTAAAGTTATAATTGAATCGTGAATTGTGTTCGTGGCATCGAGGTAAGTGTTTGGTCTAATCTTAGCTTGAGGGATTAGGAGTTGAGTCCTATTTGCTATGTGGTAATTGTAGAGTACGACGTATAGGCATGGTGACGAGTATCTATACATTGGTATCTAGCATGCCCGTGAGTCTTTATATTGTGATTATCATGACTTTGTTATATCTTTCATTCCTTAGTGGTGGTTTCTATTTGTGGTATAAAGTTTGTGGAAGGAATTGTGATCTATGAACCTTGAGGAGCGTTGACTTAAGTTGTATAACGAATTGTGAAAGTATAAGTGATAATTGAACCTCTAGAGCATTGGCTCGAGTTGTGAAGTGAATAGTTAAGCGAAAGTGAGAAAGAGAATAAATCATTATGTTGTCACCCTTGCCGGGCTATTTTGATTTATTCGTTATCTCCCTTGTCGGGATGTTGATGTTATTGATGTTGTTCCCTTGCCGGGATTAAATTGTTGAATTGTTGTTCCCTTGGCGGGATTTTTATTGCAATTTCATTTGTTCCCTTGCCCTATTGTTTGTGATTGTTGTTTGGGTGAGAAAGAGAGTTAAATCACGAAGGGTGATGACGTGCATTGTTTGTTTTGTGAGGAAAGAGTGTAAAGCACGAAGGCTGATGTCGTGTATGATTGTGAGGAAAGAGTGTAAAGCACGAAGGGTGATGTCGTGCCACACGATGTACCATTCCATGCCGATTATATTGATTATATGGTGAGGAAAGAGAGTAAAAGCACGAAGGGTGATGTCGTGTACATTTTTATTATATGATTGCTTTGGTAAGGACGAGAGTAAAAGTACGAAGGGTGATGCCGTACATTTGTTGATTTCTGATTCTTTGCTAATATCCGAGTTATATTGTTCCTTTTATTACTTGATGTCTTTCTATTCGGAATTGTTATCTCCCCCACAACATGCTCCCCCTCCCATATTGACTGGTTATTTCTGTATTTTTTCCGCTGTATATGTATTTGAACTGCACAGGTTTATTTGGTAGTCTGGTCCTAGCCTCGTCACTACTTCGTCAAGGTTAGGCTAGACACTTACCAGCACATGAGGTCGGTTGTGTTGATACTATACTCTGCACTATGTGCAGATCCCAGAGCAGCTTTTAGACCGTAGAGTGGAAGCTACCTTCATTCCACCCGGAGATCCAAGGTAGACATGCAGGCGTCCACAGGACCTAGCGTCTCCCTCTATCCTTATTTCCTGTTTCATCTTCCTTCTATTCAGAAACAGTGTACTGTTATTCAAATTTTGTATGTAGCAATCCTAGACAGTCTGTGACACTGTGACACCAGGTTTTGGGTGGTTAAGGCTTAAGTATTTGTAATAGATACAGTTTTCATATATTTTATTGTTGTCTTCCGCTTAAATTTAAATTTTTGTTGTTATCACGTTATCGCCTTATATTTGTTATAAAGAAATAATCGGTTAATGAAGTAATTAGATCAAAGGTTTGACTTGCCTAGCTCACATTAGTAGGTGTCATCACGACTCCGGAGGGTGGAAAATCCGGGTCATGACAGAAGCAAGCTCAAGTCTTACATTACGTGGATCTGAAGCAAAACTTGAATTCTTTTCATCAAAAGATTTCCATGCCAATGAATCAGCTGGATGCCTTAATACTCCATCATCAACTCTCTTATTTTTATGCCATCTCATATCTTCTGTGATTTGTCTTGTCATAAATAATCGTTTTAATCTTGGTATCAAAGGAAAGTATCTAAGAATCTTCCTAGGAATTCTTTTATTTCTCTTATTCAATTTTTTTGAAGCAACTTCATTATCAATATCTTCTCCTTTTCTTACTATCCATCTTTTTCACTACATTTAGGGCATTGCTCAAGATCAGCATATTCTTTTCTGTATAAAATACAATTATTAACACATACATCTATCTTCACATAATCTAGACCCAAATCTTTTATGATCTTTTGAACTTCATAGATAGAATTAGGGAGAACATTTCCTTTGGGAAATGCATCACTCAATAATTTCAACAAAGAGTCATATTACTCCAGACATGTAGACACTTCATCTAAAAAAGACGCATTACAAACGAGAGTTTGGAGAACTTTTCACAATCGGGATACAACTTTTGCTCTGCATCTTTTAATAACCTATAAAAACTTTTAGCTTCTATATTTGGCTCTTCGTACATAGAGTCAGTGGTCTCATCAAACAAACGACTATTAGAGGGAACACCACGATACATGTCATGCAACATTTCAAAAGTGCAAGCATCATCATTCCCTAAATTTGAATCTGTATTAGAATTTATTTCATCATCCGAAGATGAATCCGACTCACCATGATAAATCCACCTATCATAGATCGGATCTATTCCCCACCTAAGTAAATCATTCTTCACCTCATCGCGTGATTTTCTAAGAACATTATTACATTTAATGCACGAACATTGGATTCTTTCACTAACCTCAGGATTAGAAAATGCAAAGTTCAAAAAATATTTTACACCATTCAAGTATTCCGGTAATGTCCTATTCTTAATAAGTAGCCAATTCTTATCCATCATATGCTTACCTACAATGAAATATAAAACAAGAAATATAAAACTATACAATTAGAATTGTTAAATTATATAATTAACTTTCTCTCTATTTTATTATCTAAAACAGAAGTTAGAGAAGACTCTATATTAGAAAACAGTTAAAATAAAATATATAATTTGAACTAATAGCCACTGAAGCAAAGGAAGATGAGTAGCATCTTGAAAAAGTAACAAAAAAAAGAAGAAGATAGCAAGTGAAAAAAAAAAAGAATCTGAAATTCCTAAAATGCATCTGCTACTACTAAAAGTAAAGAAGCTCTAGATTTTAGCTTTGAAAACTAAAACTAAGAAGAATGATTAGTTTCTACTTTAAGCAAAGCATGTCTGATTAACTAAATTTTTTAAAGTGATTCAATTAGGCATGGTAATTTGAGTTACTTGATGACATGTTTATGTGATATTTCCTAATCATATTTGCTATTGAATTTTCTCATTTGAAGGACCTTCTAAGTGAAGAAAAATCAAGGACAATGCTAAAATATACCAAAACCAGATTCAACTACCCATAAAATCCAAAACAAAATCATATTGTTCTATTCCAAAATTTGGAGTTTTGCAACTGAAATTTCATACTTTCGTACCTTCTAGGCAAAAAAATAATCAAAGATAATGCATAAATCAATAATGCCAAAACCATATCCAAATAACTATAACACCCAATACAAAACCAATTGTTTTCTAGTCCAAAACGTTAGTATCATAAAAAGAAAAAACGGAATAGAGATCAAAAGCAGAATATGATTAAGAATTAAAAAGAAACCAATTAAGTTTAGCACAATAACTGAAAAGAGAAAACCTAAGAAGAAGAATACGACTAAGCTAAATCAAACGCAGAAAGCACCAAACATTAAGTAGAAACGAAATCAAAATCGAGAACTCACCAGATTTTGGGTAGAACACAGCGATGGAGATCGAAGAATCGAACACACCAGATGCAAGAACTTAGTTTAGCCGAATAATGAAAAGAAAAAACCTAGATGCAGTGGAAATTAAAAGTGCGCTAAGAATTTGGGGAAAAGTAATAGAATAGGAAAACCTGTTTTGGCGTGTTTGTTTTGGCGGAAAAGTAAAAGTAATTTATTAAATTTTAGGCCACAAACTTTTGGGTAATAGCAACAACTTATATTTGTTGTTGCCAATTATTTTAATATTTAATACTTATTATATTACTCTTAAAATATAGGAACGACAATCTAAAATATGTAACAAGAAAATACTTGTTAAAAATTCTATAATATAACAACAATCTAATCACGTCGTTTCCACTTATTAAACTTAGCCAACAACTGCAATATTGTTGGTAAAAAGTTGTTACTAATTTATATTTATTTAAAATTTATTATATTATTTATTAAATATGGCAACAATATTAAAACTTTTGCTAATAAAAAAAAATTGTGGGTAAAAATTCTATGATATAGCAACAACTAAATAAAGTTGTTGCCGTTTATTGTATTTTACAACAACATTATTGTTGTTGCAAAAAAACTGTTGCCAATTCTATACTTTCTTGTAGTGCCGAGACTAATGGGGTCACGTCACCCCTCACCTCACCACATAGGTCCGCCTCTGCGTGTACATATAGGTCACAATTTGAGCCATGGAAGCAGTGACTACATCATTTGGGGTGTGACGCTTCCTCGGACCTTGCTTGAATGCATGATGCTTGCACATGTACCGGGATGCCCCCTTTTTTATTGGCGAATTCAAATTTAAACTTTATGCATTCAAGTTCGAAATTCTACTACAACTCGTTTGATTTAATGGATTCGAAATATATTAATTGTACTTATTTACTGGATTTTTAACATAAATACAAATTCTTGGCGAAGACTAAATTTGTCTCTACATGGTAGTGTAAAAGTTCTTTTTATAGTATTATTGTTTGGCACGAGTGACAAAGAATAATTAATCGCAGGATTAAATTTGAGATGAGTTTATCCCACATTTGGTTGGGATAAAAATACGGTATAACTAATCTTGAAATTAGTTATTTCGGGATTGTAGAGTTATTTTTACCCCTATGGAAAGGTGGAATAACAATCCCGGAATAATTAATCCTGAAATGACTTGTTTCCCTACCAAACAATTCTAAGTGTAATAAAAATTATACTCATATTCATAATAATATCGACATCAACTAACATACATAACGGATCTCGTAATTATAAGCTTGTCCATAATACAAAGTTTGCTTCCAGTGTCAAATTAAAATTACAACAGCTAGCAAACTTTGAATATCATACAACAAAAGACTAGTCAACCTGGAAACAGCCTCTCTGCCCCTCGTAATAGGGGTAAGGTGTGCGTACATATTACTCTCTCCAGATCCTACTTGTGGGATTATACTGAATTGTTGTTGTTGTTTTCTTTGTTGTTGAATATGACCAACAAAAAGTTGAGTGATCTGTACTGTAGCATTTCTTGTGTGCTCCTTTAGTAAACTTCATCTTCTCCCTATCCAAGAAAATAGACTGTTAATTATACTGATTAAAATGGCCAATGAGGATTAATCTATATTGCCTGGACCCTTCAAAAAAGTCTTTGGACGTGTGGCGAATTCTGCATAAGTGGTGCATTTTTGGAGGATCAAACACGGGCACGGCAACATTTTGGAGAGTCCATATTATATGGGGATTAATATAATCAACTCCAACTTGTTTAGGATTAAGACATTATTGTTGTTGTTGTTGCTTCTTACAATCAAGACTTTAATATTTTGCTAATTAAACATAAATTATAAAGAAACTTATTCATAATTTGCTCGATCAAATTAACTCACCTTCTTTGGAGTAATGAAGTGTACAGATTTCTTTTTGGCCTTTCCTTCAGGAGACATATGTTGATGTGATTCTCCATATTTCTTGATTAGTTTTTCCCTAACATAGGTTTCATATATAAAAGTAGCTCCTCTAAACTGGGGCAAAACTAGCCATGCCACAATGATCAACTTCACATCGTACCATATTGGTATCCTAAATCAAAATTCAGAAACACAAAATTAAAGTAAATAAATAATAACTTATGATACATATATTTATCTTCACTTTCTATCTCACATTAAACACAAAGTTGCTACTATAGTATGGAAAAAAGCTTCTTTTGAATATGCGGTCATTAAATAAATCGATCCATTAGTAGATAGCATTAGGAGAGATTCATTATGGTGGGATGGACCGTTCTCGAATTCTGGCTGGCATTCTGTCAATTGGAATACTCACGCATACTGGGAGGGTACATATATACGACTTCAAGGGATGGACTCGACCGAACGGCCAACCATTTGCTATTTTAGGAGATGAAATCCAAAAGACTATTATTAGCGTGTAGTAGATTGGCTCCAGTACGTAATAGGCCAGTCGAGAAGAAATTAAATCAATAGATTGAACGGTAGATAAAAGATCAGAGGATGAGAAGGGTAGATCTACCCAATATGGACCGTTAAGGAGTTCAGAAAGGATCTGATCATAAACTGTTGGGGGATGGTGGCGGAACTATAGCCAAGTGGATTAAGATAATGGTGTGAATCCGCCACGACAGTTATTTAGACCATTTAAAAGTAAAATTAGTCGACGAAATCTTTTATTCTATTCTCTCGTAGAATGTGAAAATTCTCCCGAAAAGTTTAAAGAGAGCTAATAACTTACCAATCAAGAATGGGTTGAAGTAGCATCTCCACAAGTGTAAGAAAAGAATAGAGAATCCAATAAGCAAGCCATTGTTCATCATCCAACTTGGAAGTGCTCTCTATAGCTACTATTGATGCATATCTACACAATATTATATTCAAAAGGAATTCAACAATATCACCCTAAAACAATCAACTTAATAAGGAAATGAAGGGCACTTTTTTTATATACTCCTCTGTTTTAATTTAGATATTCATAAACTATACGAGAAATACTATAAGTTGCAATTTTTCTTATGTCAATATGATAAAAAAATATTTTAAAATATTGGTCAAACTTTATACAATTTGACTTTCGATAAACGAAGTATGTCATCTAATTTGAAAACGGAGGGAATAATATTACGTACAGAGGATAGAGCAACATCGTCACTGGCCTGCAATTTTAATACAAAATATACAACTGTCACTTTTCAAGAATTTACAAGTACTAAACATAGATAAATAAAGACCCCATAAGAAAAAGATAAAGGATTTTTTTATAAAAAAATATTAAATTACCCGGCGATAGTATGAAGATGAGTGATCAAAGTCCAAAAATGACCCATTATTTCCTTTTGAAAAGGAAATGATATGATTCAAATGAAACTTCAAAGAAGACGAAGAAGAAATGTCTGAGTGAGAAACTGTTTAAGTAAATGAAATGATAGTTTTGAGAGGAAGAATTGTGGAAGCACAGGCTTTATTGAACAAAAGAAAACACTTGTCGGTTTTAAGATGGACAAATCCGTATCAGGTTCTTACTTTGACGTAGTGTTCTAGGTTTAGCACACGACAGATCAATTGAACTTGAACATTCATGGACAAGATCCAAAATGTAGTACTAACACATCATTAGATGGAGTATTTATATAATATAGTAAGATGTCCACCAAGAGACCAGGGTTGTGTGGAAATTAGACCAAATAGTCACTTTTAAATATGTCCGTAGGCATATAAATTTTATTAAAATTAAATTCATAAAATAATTTGGATTATATTTTAAATTCAAGATATATTGTCCAAATAAATACTATTGGTTAATATAGTTGAATTAATTATATAAGTTTAATATATATGGATTAATAAATAAGTCTTAATCCATTGGGCTAGCGTAGTTAATTGGGACTAAAGTGATAAGCCCACTTCATTAAGCCTAAGATGTCATCTTCCTAGAGGCCCACTTTGGTGCTACGTGTCAAATGACGTGGCATGCCAAGTCAAACAGAAGAGCCAATAGGACCATGTCACGTATCAAAATGACAAGGCATGCCAAATCAAATTAAAAGGCTAATGAAATCGCGCCACATGTGCAAGTGACATGTTCTAACCAATCAAATGCGACTTTGTCACTCTTCAGTCAGATTGGTCGGAAAGAGTTTGTTCTCATCGCAACTCTTCCATCCCACAATTATAAATAGGGGTCTTCATAACTCAAAAAAGACACCAGAAGATGTAACAAGAAGTAAGAAAGAGCTCGTGGATCAAACGCTGCAAATTCCTCCATAAGTTTCAAGCTTCAAGCAATCAAGTTCAAGCTCAAGAACAAAGAACAAATCAAGTTCAAGCTCAAGAACGAAGAACAAATCAAGGTCAAGTTCAAGCAATCAAGCTCAAGCTCAAGAACAAGATCATCGTTCGTGGCAACAACTACATATTCAAGATCAAGCTCAAAGGCCCCTGAATTTATTTATAATTGGAAAGAAGAATCAGAGGATTCATAAAGATTGTACACTCATATTATTTGAAATGAAATACTACGATTGTCGCAATATTTTTAGTCTCGATTATTTTCTTGACGCAAATTTATTATCTACAAATTCTGGCACGCCCAGTGGGACCATTTATACTTCTCATCTCTTCTTTTCCAAGTTCAAGAATAAGATCTAACAATTCGATCATGGAAGAACAACTTGCAAATTTGACAAAACACTTGAGAAGTTGACCAAGTATATGGAGGATAGAGATACCCGCCTCGAAAAGTTAGCAAGTGAGATCGAGAGCTTAGCAGAAGCAAAATCAATTCAAGCACATGTGGAGCTTTCCGAAAATAAAGTAGGGGAGAATCCGCTGCGAGGCAAACGATCGTGGTCAAAGAGATCCAAGTTTCTTCAGAAGGTCTAATTCATGTTGATCAATTGAAGGACTTCATCATGGGGATAATTGAAGATAAAATTGATCCTCCGATTAAATCTTCCCTCACATATGCAAAGTCATACACACAACGGATTGATAACTTGAAGATGTCTACTGGATATCAACCTCCAAAGCTTAACCAATTTGATGGAAAAGAAAATCCCAAGCAACATGTGGTGCATTTCGTCGAGACATGCAACAACTCTGGGACTTATGGTGATCATCTTGTCAAACAGTTTGTTTGTTCTCTCAAAGGTAATGCATTCGATTGGTACACAGATCTTGTATCTGGTTCTATCGATAGTTGGGAGCAGTTGGAGCAAGAGTTTCTCAATCATTTTTATAGCACAAGACGCATCGCAAGCATGATCGAACTTACAAACACTCATCAAGAAAAGGATGAGCCAGTTATTGACTTCATTAACCGCTGGAGGAGCTTAAACCTCAACTGTAAAGATCACCTTAGCGAGACTTCTGGCATCGAAATATACATTCAAGCTATGCATTGGAGTCTTTGCTATATTTTACAAGTCATAAAGCCCAAAACATTTCAAGAACTAGTAACTCGTGCACATGATATGGAATTGAGTATGGCTACAAGTGGAGATCAAAGATATCCTGGCTTTGAGCCTCATGATGAAATAGAAGTAGAGGATTCTGAGAATGGAGGCAAGTATTTGTCCGAAGATGAAGCTGAAGAGTCCATGTCACGACCCCAAAATCCATTAAGGGTCATGATGGCACCGGACACCGCTGTCAGGCAAGCCAACCATAAATACTTAATTAAATTCTCATTTAAACAGTTGTGAAAAACTCTGATTTTTCTTCTATTTTTTTACTAGTAAAAGATACTCAGTTCAAATTAAATATACATGTCAAGAAGTCAATACAAAATACCCCATAACTATCACAAAACCCGGTGTCACAAGTGCATGAGCTATTTATAGGAAGCAATACAATACAACAACCGCCCGGAATACAAATTGGACAGAAAATAAATACAATAATCTAGAAGAGACTCTGCTAGCTGCGGGTCGTCTCGAGAAGTACAGCTCGCCTAAGTCTCCGCATCAACCATGCTGCTACGCCCGCCAGGCCACTAGTGATGCATGTGCCTGTACAACAAAAATGCACAGCAAGTGTAGTATGAGTACGAAAACAACGTGTACCCAATGAGTATCCCGTCTAATCTCGAAAAAGTAGAGACTAGAGGTCGACTTCGACACTTACTAATGGTGCAATAATGATATGTCCGTAATATAATGAATCGAGGATTTATATAAACAGGATTTGTAATTCAATAGGGTGAAACATGTAAACAATTCTTTCTTTTATGTGAAATTCCCGAAATTTCCCTTTTCATCATTTATACACATATTCTCAAGTCGGGAAGAGGCAATAACAACTTTAATAAGTTTCAAGGCAAGCAATACAAGCATGCGCAAATCATGCTGAGGTCGTACGTCGGTATCCATCAATATTTAAAATGTGCACTGCTAGAGGGTCGAATAGCGCAAACCATAGATGCATCTATTTAATCTACCGAGGCGTTCAGACCGTTCCAGAATTTAAACACCCACATATAGTCAATCAAGAAGTCATTATGGAACAATTATCCAAAGAAAACCAATTCTCTTTTAACAATTTAAGAAAAAGAAGTTAAAATCTTTTTAGAAATTCATTTACTAATTCGCTGTGGTTTAAGCAATTCAAACTGTCAATAAGATTACAAATAATCCAAGTATAGCATGCTTTTGGGTCCTAGACTACCCGGACTTAAACATAATAGTAGCTACGCACGGACTCTCGACACCTCGTGCGTACGTAGCCCCCACAATTAGAAGCACATATTTAATTATTTCTCCTATGGGGACAATTCCCTCTTACAAGGTTAGAAAGGAGACTCACCTCACTCTGAAGATCCATAACCGGCATTCCACGCTCTTTCGAAGACTCGAATCGATGCACAATGCTCCGAAACTAGTTAATAATTATATAAATCCATTAATATATGTTCAAATACTCATTACAATCCAATTTATAATAATTTCTAACCCCGATCGAAAAGTTGAAAAAAATTGCCCTCGGGCCCACGTGCCCAAATTTCAAAATTTTTTTGAAGATAAAGTTTACCCATGAACTCACGAACTCAAATATATTATTTTCTCTTAATTCCATACCCAAAATCGTGGTCAAAATCCAAGAATACGAATTTTCTAGGTTTTCCTCAAACCCCAAATTTCTACCAATTTACATGCTAAAATCCATACATAATCAATATACTTAACTCAAGATAGGTGAGGTTAGCTTACCTTGTCATTGATGATGAAAACCACCTCTTGAAACCCTCCAAGAATCGCCCAAGCCAAGAGAAAAATGAGATAAAATGGCCAAATCCCGATTTTTAAAACACTCACTGCCTCCAATCCTTTCGCACCTGCGGTCTATTGACCCCTTCTGCGGTCCCGCAGGTGCGGACCAATTGTCGTTTCTGCGGTCTTCCCCCAAGCCTTCAACTTCCGCATCTGCGCTTCTCCTTCCGCAGGTACGGTCCGGCATCTGCGGCAAAATGACTGCATCTGCGGTCCCAGCCTAGCCGTCCATTTCCGCTTCTGTGGCACGAAGGTTGCTTCTGCGGCTCCGCACCTGCGGCCCTAGTCTCTCAGGTGCGGTTACACCAGCAACCAGCAACTTCAGCCTTTTCCATACATTTTCGATCCATTAACCACTCGGAATCCACCTGAGACCCTCGGGACCCCAACCAATCATACCAACATGTCCCAAAACACAGTATGGACTTGCTAGAGGCCTCAAATCACATCCAATAGCGCTAAAATCATGAATCGACCTCCAATCCAAGCTTAATGAACTTTATAATTTCAAACTTCTTCATTCGATGCCAAAACATATCAAATCACGTCGGATTGACCTCAAATTTTTCACACAAGTCATATTCGATATTACGGACCTACTCCAACTTTCAGAATCGAAATCCGACCCCGATATCCAAAAGTCCACTTCCAGTCAAACTTCTCAAAAACCTTCAAATTTCTATCTTTAGCCAAATGACTCCAAAATGACCTACGGACCTCCGAATTCACTTCCGATCGAGCTCCCAATTGCAGAATCACCATACATAGCTATTCCTTGACTCAGAATCTCAAACGGATATTGATAACCCTGAAATGCACTTCAATACAAACTTATGAGATTCTTCCAAAAATGCTAACTTCCACAATAGGCGCCGAAACATTCCCGGGTCTTCCAAACCCCAGTCCGGACATACGCCAAAGTCCAAAATCATCATACGAACCTTCTGGAACCTTCGAATCTCGATTTCGAGGTTGTTTACTCAAAAAACCAAACGTAGTCAATTCTTCTAACTTAAAGTTTCCAAAATGAGAATTCTCTTTCCAAATCAACTCCGAACTTCCCCAAATTCAATTTCGACGATGCATACGAGACATAATACTTGAAGTGAAGCTGCTCAGGGCCTCAAACTGCTGAACGATGTGTTAGATCTCAAAACAACCGGTCGGGTCGTTACATTCTCTCCCACTTAAACATATGTTCGTCCTCGAACGTGCTAAGAACTGCACTGGAGTTGTCCGAAATCACTGTTTAACACCTCGTGCACCTACCCGCTCTACTGCAACCCAGTTGAGCACATTGGCTCGATCAATTCTGAAGATATTTCCTTTTATTCAAGCAAATAAGCTTAGAGCCCAATTCCAACATCCGGAATTCTCTACCAGGCCTATTTCCAACATATGCTCACCATATCAATCACTACACGCTGCACCAAAGCATGACTGTATACCTTTGATGAATTCACGCCTTGCACCACTTTACTCACAGGACTACAATAATGTTCTCTGATCAAATTAGTCGAAATTTCACGAATTTGATGCTCCCATTGCATCTCATGACATACATAGGTCTTGCTCTAACTCTTACAATACCGCCGCGATGGAAGAGATGTGTAGAAATTCATAACCAACTGCTGAATCAACAATCATTGGGGCTATACTCATGACAAGAATCATTACCTCCTTCTGAACCAAATAATGGTATTTGCTCTTTAATATTCTTCATATAATCCGATTGCACTGATCCTAAATCCAATGATCTCGTCTCACCAATACGAACTGCTCAGGCAATAAGCCACTCGGACATGATCAAAAGTCTCGTATGATGCCACAATATGCCAATAGGCTACCAATTCGAACGCGATACAAAAGGGAAACGAACTCTGGAAGGGACTACCTAACTCTCACACAGCTAATATGAGTTTTCCCTAGAAAAATAGCAAACAAAACACATAAAAATAGATATAGGGAACTGTGCTCAACATCACACCATTGCGGTGCGCAACCCGATCCAAACAATATACCTATGGCAGCGTGCCACCCGATCCACATATAAAATTCACGTAAGAAGATACACACAGAGCCAGATTGCTCATTACAACAAAATACCGATTGTCGGCCATGAGCACACTAAGTGCATTATACCATTCTTGGGGAGATATACAGCGCCATAAGCTACAAAAACTCAAGCACAACTGAGGTGCGATATAGATCTGAATCTCAAGAGTCATTCTGCTCATATAACATCATCTCTGCGCGGAACCTCAACACATAAGAAATTCCCCAAGCCGTCTCACAACTGACATGGCGCAATATATCATTATATGAAATAGCTGACGACGAAATAATACTCCGACTACTCTTCTATAAGGAGCGCATTACTGAAATGAACACATCTGGCCTGATATAGAGCCCATATTCACATTTAAATCCATCTACAAACCTTAAGTCGATCCTGATCACACTGAACTAGGCTGATAACTTTTCATGGGTCCATAATGACCCCCTTTCCTCATAACACATAAGATCAACCATCATAACCGGAGCAATCCTCCATAGTCCACCACCCAATAAACCGAGTGCCCTCCAGGCCTAAATTCTCAAATTAATGACATCACTATAATCTTCACACTTGGTTTAATTCTTCAATCAATCAAGTGACTACATGTCACACTTATACATTCTTCCAATGGGGCACGCTCCCACAACCTTCTATAACAGATAACAGGTATGTACATCCAAACCATCGGCCGCACTAATGCTGAAAAGCGATCAAGAATTCTTAACTAGGATGCAAAGCCTTTTTCACAAAACACCGATCTCAGGTGACGCCGAAGACAATACCAACTTACTTTAAACATCGAAACTCCTTTCCTGCTCATCCGAGCTCGTGACATCCTTGTCAACACCAAACTACAACCTTGATCCTTACTTCAAATTCCATATCACTCGCTGCACCCAACATGCCAATATACGATAGAACACGAGTCTCACCATAACTCCGGAACCACTAATAGATTAACACTACATCATATAAAAACTTTTCACTTAACTCACTTCAGGAGAACCATGGCAACACACAGGTGAATTCTCATAACCGTAGAATATGCAAATCTCGAAGAAGTGGTCTAAGCCACCATAGTCCTTTCGGGGTCCGCCTACACACAACAGGCCATAACAGTAGAATACTTCTAAATAACATCAATTACGGCGGCCGACAAGCCTCACATGTATCGTCTCAAATCACTTGCATAACTTGATCACGCTGAATGAACTGATTACTACCACCAATATGCAAAGTCAACTATGGCTAACCAATCCATCTTCTTTCTATTTATCCTTGTTTGCCTTAGATATAACAATAACTCCATTCAACACATACACACTCCATCCGCACTCATCCCAAGTGACCTTGAATCACGAGACCATGCTGTCTCAGATCCCACTAAC